GCTTCGGTTTGAATCCCAGCTCTTGCAGGTGGTATATGGCTTTAGGCACGTTCCTTAACCTTGTTCAACTTTTGTTTTCTTTTTTCCTTTTTTTTTTTTGAGACAGGGTCTTGCTCTGTCTCCCAGGCTGGAGTGTAGTGGTGTGATCATGGCTCACTGCAGCCTCTATCTCCCAGGCTAAGGCAATTCTCTTGCCTCACCCCTGAGTAGCTGGGACTCCAGGCTCACCACCATTGCTGGCTAATTTAAACATTTTTTTTGTAGAGACAAGATCTCACTGTGTTGCTCAGGTGGGTGTCTTGAACTCCTGAGCTCAAGTGGTCTTCCCACATTGGCCTCCTAAAGTGTTAGGATTACAGGGAGCTACTGCCCCCTGGTGGCCTCATTTTCTTATTTGTAAAATGGAGATAGTAGTAGTGCCTGTGTTAGAGTTATTGTGGGGATTATACTACACCTTTAGCCCAGATCTGGGCACATAAAAATGTGGACTCACAAAGGGAGGGGCTTGCCTTTTTGAGCCCCACCTTAGACAGCCCTGCTACTGTGGGACCTTGTCTTCTCCTTTTGATCCAACCCAAAGATTTGATGCAAGTTCTCGGATAGCCTTTAAAGTCTCAGAAGAGCATTTTTCCTTTGGTTTGAGTTCCATTAAGTAAATGTAACATTTAGATAGCGAATTACCCTTTTTCTTTTTCGAGACAGAGTTTCACTCTTGTTACCCAGGCTGGAATGCAATGGCGCGATCTCGACTCATACCCAGCTAATATTTGTATTGTTAGTAGAGATGGGGTTTCGCTATGTTGACCAGGATGGTTGGGATCTCTTGACCTCATGATCCATACCTCGGCCTCCCAGAGTGCATGAATTACCTTTTTCCTTGTTGGACTCCGAGTTCTAGAATCTCAGTTCCAGAAAGACCCATAGATAAAGTCTGTGAGCCCAGCTCTTTCATTGTAGGCATGAAACTACATTGTAGGCACTGTCACTACAGTGTTTCTTACTGCCCACCCAAACTTGGCTTTATATTCTGTCCTGAGGCCTCATGAGGGCATCAGCCTGGGCTCCCAGTAGAAGAGCAGAAGTCCCTGAGTGTTCACTGAAGTAAAGTTGATGGATGTGGCATGTGACAGATGGTCAGAGAGTGTGACTTGTAGAGCTGTGCTGTCCACTGGAACTTTTCTCGGTGGTGGAAGTGTTCCAGGTCTGTGTTGTCCAAGATGGTAGCTACTAGCACAGGTAACTGCTGAGGACTTGACGTGACACTAGGCAACGGAGAAACAGAACTGGCTTTTTTTTTTTTTAGACAGAATCTCACTCTGTTGCCCAGGCTGGAGTGCAATGGTGTGATCTCGGCTCACTGCAAATTCCGAATCCTGTGTTCAATACAAACATGTGCCATCATGCCCTAGTAGAGATGGGGTTTTACCATGTTGGCCAGGCTGGTCTTGAACTCCTGATCTCACGTGATCTGCTTGCCTTGGCCTCCCAATATGCTGGGATTATAGGCGTGAGCCGCTGTGCCCAGCTTGAACATAATTTTTAATTGCATCAATTTAAATTCATCTGAATTTAAATTGCTGCAATTAAAATCCTGTGGCTGGTGGCTACCTTTCAGGAGTGTAATATGTAGGGAAATTTAAACATCAGATTTCACTGGAAGGTCTGTCGGGGGCAGGGTGTTCCTAAAGGAAGCTTTGAAGCTTTCTGGGGACTAGCCAGCTCTGGAACAACCATGCTGATGGAGGGGGACCTCGGCGTGGACACCAGCCAGCAGGCAGATAACTTGGCATGCTTCCTTTGTAGGTAGATGTGTGAAACCTACAGGTTTTTTTTGTGTGTTTTCATTGCTTGCCATGTTCCTAGATGCGCTACCAGGAAGCTTCTTGAGATCAGGAGTTGTGTTGTACCATGTGGTACCGTGAATGCCTAGAGTAGTGGCTGAGGTCTAGCTGACAGGTCAATAGGCAGTAGCTGAATGGCTGTGAATTTTTTAGTATGTTACGTAGTTAGAATTATTTCCCCCAAGGGAAAAGACAGAGTGGGACTCTGCCTTTGTTTTTGTTTTTAGATGGATTCTCACTCTGTTACCCAGGCTGGAGTGCAGTGACGGTGCAATTGATGGCATCTTGGCTCACTGCAACCTCTGCTTCCCCAGTTCAAGCAATTCTCCTCTCCTCAGCTTCCTGAGTAGCTGTGACTACAGGCACCCACCACCACACTCGGCTAATTTTTGGATTTTTAGTAGAGACAGGGTTTCACTGTGTTGGCCAGGCTGGTCTAGAACTCCTGACCTCAAGTGATCTGCCTGCCTTGGCTTCCCAAAGTGTGCGGGATTACAGGTATGAGCCACTGCACCGGGCCAAGCTCTGTCATTGGTTTTATAATGGAATTAATGAAAAGAAAGAATCTGAGAATTTTTTTTTCTTTTCTTTTTTTTTTTGAGATGGAGTTTCGCTCTTGTTACCTAGGCTGGTGTGCAATGGCGCAATCTTGGCTCACCACAACCTCCGCCTCCTGGGTTCAGGCAATTCTCCTGCCTCAGCCTCCTGAGTAGCTGGGATTACAGGCACGCACCACCATGCCCAGCTAATTTTTTTTATTTTTAGTAGAGACGGGGTTTCACCATGTTGACCAGGATGGTCTCGATCTCTTGACCTCATGATCCACCCGCCTCGGCCTCCCAAAGTGCTGGGATTACAGACTTGAACCACCGCGCCCAGTCAGAATCTGAGAATTTTTAAACAAAAAAATTTTTAAACATTAGCCAGGCGTTATTGTGGGGATTATACTATACCTTTAGCCTGGTTCTGGGTGTGCACCTGTAGTCCCAGCTATATGAGAGGCTGAGGTGGGAGAATCCCTTGAGCCCAGGAGGTTAGGGCTGCAGAGAACCATGGTTGCACCACTGCACTCCAGCCTGGGCAACTAAGCGAGACCCTCTGTCTCAAAATAAGAATAAAAACATAACCACAAAACAAAGATCCACTCAAAATATCATCCAAATTCCTAATAGCATTAAATAGCAAGTGCCTTCATGTTTCTGTCCTAAATGAATTAACACTCAGAGCTTGTATTCTGGAGCATTCCATAAACGGATTTACAGTGCTAGCTCTCTTGTTGCTAGGATGTGGGGACCCTTGGTGAAGATCCAGTCTTTGTAGCCCAGAGAGCCTGTGGGTGGGGAGGACCTTGTCTACCCACTGTTCAGCCTCACACTGTAAGTAGGCCAGGCAGCCTGGCATCGCCCTGGAATTGGCACCTGCAGCTGGCCAGCTCCCTGGTTCCGGTGAGACCAGAAGTGGCTTTCTCCTGTGTGACCCACCTGGCCTTCAGGGCATGCATCAGGGGGTGACCGTATCCTAGGCTGTCTTGCCATCCCACCCCTTGGCCTCTCACTCTGAGAGCCCTCCTGGGGAGGGGGATCAATGATGTGTACCCCCCTTGGACCCCAGATGTGAATAAGTGGGGAAGTCAGTTACAAATGCAGGTTTTCTGCATGCGAATAGTACCTCAGCACGGTCAACAAGATGCAGATTTCAGGAGATAATGGGGAAACTTAAGTCATCCCTCTATAATGAATGATTATAAGGAATCACTACTTTTTTTTTAAGGTAGGATAATTGTTTTGTAGTTTGCTTTTTCAAACCAACTTTATTGAGGTGTATTTATAATGCATATACAAGAATATTGGAAACGTGCAGTTCGTTGAGTTTTGATGAATGGGCACGCTGTGTAATGACCGGCCCAGTTGTGATGTCAAATATTTCTAAACCCCACAGAAGTCCCCTACTGTTGGCCCCTGGCAAAAAGATCGGCTTTCTTTCACTGGCTGTGCCTCTTCTAGAATTTCGTGTGGCTGGAACCGCATCGAGCTGGGCGCTGCGCCTCACTGCTGTGTCCCTGTGGCCCTGCAGCCCCCTGTGCCCTACACATCGCACTTTCTCTTCACCAGTCAACAAAGATTTGGGTTCTTGTGAATGAAGCTCACAAATGCAGATTTCAGTTCATTTAGGACAGAAACATGAAGGCACTTGCTATTTAATGATATCAGGAATTTGGATATATTAGGTGGGATCTTTGATCTGTGGTTATGTTTTTATTTCTATTCTGAGACAGGGTCTCGCTTAGTTGAGCAGGCTGGAGTGCAGTGGTGCAATCACGGTTCCCTGCAGCCCCAACCTCCTGGGCTCAAGGGATTCTCCCACCTCAGCCTCCCTCTTGAGTAGCGGGGACTACAGGTGCATGCCACCACGCCTGGCTAATGTTTAAACATTTTTTTGTAGAGACATGGTCTCTGTTGCCCAGGCAGGTCTCAGATTCCTGGGCTCAAGCGATCTTCCCACCTGGGCCTCCCGAAGTGCTGGAGTTACTGGGCATGAGTCACCAAGCCCCTTCTTTATGTTTTTTTTTATAAGGAGGCTTTCTTTGTCTTTTAGAGGAAATGCTGACATATTTACAGATGTTGTACTGGGAAGTCTGGGATTTGCCGCAGAATAACCTGGCATGGGGAGCAGGTGGGCAGAGAGACCAGAGGTGCCCTGAGCTGACTGTTTCAGGGCTGCTTGATGGGGACATGGGGGTTCACTCCCACCTCCCTCCACTGTAAGCATTTGATATCTACCATGATAAAGAATAAAAGAAAACCAGGTTCCTGGGCCCCTGCCCCAGGGCTAATGCCTGTAACTCCAGAGCTGGGGAAGGTCAGGGAGGAGGTAGGCCCAGGAATCTGCATTTTCCTCAGCCTTCCTGGATCTCGAGGGCCACTGTCAGAGGAGGGCCAGGCACCTGGGCCCAGGCACCAGGGCCAACATGCCGTGGGGGTGTGTTGGCCTTCCGTGGCTTCCCCGAAGCCTTCCAGCTCTCCTGGTGCCTATGTGCCAAGCCCTCTTGGCCCAGGTGGAACCCATTCTTCCACCTGCCTGAGGGCCGGCCTGAGTGGTGTGAGGCTTAAGGTCCTGGAGGTGGGAAACCTTCTGAGTGTGGCTTGTGGCTCCTCCCCCCAGTTCATCCTCTCCCACAGAGGCGGCTTTGCCCTGTCTCCCTGAGTTCATGCTGAGTCATGAATTCCTTTCATCACTGGTCTTTTGCGGAGAACATCCTGTGATCCAATTCCAGATCCAGTTCGGCCTTGCTGGGGACTGGTGTGGGAGAGGCAGTCCTAGGAGGAGGGGCAGCCTGGTGCTTTCCATCACGGCCGGCTCACTGCTAAGCCAGCCAGGCCTGCACAGGCGTGGGCTCTGCGGGGCTTCCTGCTTGGCGCTGGGCAAACATTTTTCCCACTTACCAGGGGATGAAGCTGCTTGCCAGGGCTCTCCGTCTCTGTGGATTTGTAAGGCACAAATCCTCCAGGAGGCTGGTAGCTGGCCAGGGATGTGTGGGGCCCCAGAGAGGGTGCTGCACTCCCATCCAGGCGGCCGGACCCAGGGCTGATCTCCCACCCTCTGGAGCCTACACTACTGCCAGGTAGGATGACTGGGAATATGTTGTGCCCATCGTGTCCTGCTTGTGAGGCTGACTCGGCAGCCTGCCCCAGGGCCTTGGGCCACATAACTTGGAGGAGTTTTTGGGAGGGATAGTAGGGCCGGGTGTTGAATGAGCTGTGTGTTTTGCTGGATTGAAGGTGTCCACTTAAGTGTCCATCCTCAGTGGTATGTTCTTCGCCTAGCGACCAGTGGAGCCCTCACCTAGGGACCAGCAGAACCCCCTGGGCTTTGTTGGACGAGGTGAGCCTGGTGGTCCTGGGCCATGGGAATCTGGGCGTCTGCCGATCAAGGCCTATCCCTGCAAGCCAGCAGCTCTGCTGACCCACCCCTGGCAGCCGGCAGCCATGCCCTGCTTTGTCCCCAGGCAGGAGGTTGATCTGTGATTTTAGACCAGAAGCTTGGAGTGGGGACCAGAGGGAGCTGTTCTGCACTATTGGCTGATCCTAACAGTGCAGTGTTGAGCTGCTTACAGAAATGGCTTTTGCCTACTGTATTTCTCGTAAACTTTACAGAAACTCTGTTGAGTGGCTGTACACACCTCCTCTTTCCTGCCAGCTTTACTGGATTATAGTTCACATAGCATGCAATCCATTCACTACAGTGTACAAGCTAGTAGATTTCAGTATGTTTACAGAGCTATGGGACCATGACCTCTGTCAATTTTGAAAGGGGTGATAGTGTGATATAGCTGGCCTAGAGTTAGAACCTGAACAATGCCATTTTATAAAAGACAAAACTGTTTTTAAAATAAGTTGTGAAGGCTGCTCCCTTCTCCTCACAATGACTGCTCACCTTGGCTTCTGTGAAACTGCTAGTTTACTGTGCAGAATGCAGAGGTAAAGCTGCTCACCTTCTCTTATCAGTAACTGCCAGAATTGCTGGCCTTTGCTTACCGGTAATAACCAGAATAAGCAGCCCAAGTTAATTCCATCCTGGCTCCTACGACTTGTAATAAGTAACTAAAAATCTGTAGATCCCACCTCTGCCCAGACAATGTGCAAACTAATGTTTATCATGACTTCTGTAAACCACTTAAGTAACAATCGGAATGACAAAAGGCCCCTGGCCCTTGGAATGTCCGGAGCCCCCGTCACATTTACAGAATCCACTAGCCCTCGAAATGTCTGAAGCCTTTCATCCCCATCCCCGCTCCTCACCCCCACTCCCAAGGTGGTTTTACGGGTATAAAAAGGTCTTGTTACCCTCCTTTCTCTGCCACGGGTTGGGGAGATGTGAGTCCTCCATGGTCGCCGGCAATAAACCTTGCAATTTGGCATACTTTTGTCTTGGTGTTGACTTTCTATGCTCAGTCCAGTATAACAATAGGAGGGTTTTTTGTTCTCCTGACATGGAGCTTCCAAAACCCTTGGGCTCTCTGGAGTCGTAAGAGTGTCTAGTATGCTAATGAGAGGACTGGTGGCTGGGGGCCTTAGATAGCTTCAGGATGGAAGCTGGTCTTCAGAAAGACCAAGGCAGGATTAGAGAGAGGCTTAGCGCTTTCAGCCTTACCTTTCTACACCCCAGAAGGTAGTGGCAGACTTTAATTAAATTGTAGGACACCCACCTGGTGTTGGAGAGTTGGATAAGTGGGGTTGAAAGAGACACCCATGTTTGTTATTAAAAGCCTGGGTAAAAGCAGCACGTTTAGGAATCAAATTGCTGGGTCATATGGTAATTTTGTGGTTATCCTCATGAGACACTTCCAGACTTGTTTTCCAAAGTGGCTGCGCCATTTCACATTCCCACCAGCAGTGTGATAAGGATCAATTTCCCCAGATCCTTGTTGGCACTTATTATCCATCTTTTGAATTCTAGCCAGGCTAATAGATGTGTAGTGGTATCTCACTGTGGCTTTATGTGCATTTCCCTAATGAGAGAAGATGATACGGAGCATGTTTTCATGTATTTTTAGAGAATTGTCTAGTCAGGTCTTTTCCTGTTTTCCAATTGGCTTAATTGTCATTTTGTTATTGAGTGATGAGAACTCTTTATATATTCTAGATACAAGTCCCTTCTCAGATATAATTTTTTAATTAAAAATCTTTTTCAGTTCTAAAAAGTTGTCAGCTTGGGCAACATAGCAAGACCTGATCTCTACTAAAAATTAAAAAAATTAGCCAGATACTTGGTGGGTGGGGTGTGCCTGTAGTCTCAGCCACTCAGGATATTGAGGCAGGAAGATTGCTTGAAGCCAGGAAGTTGAAGCAGCAGTGAGCTGATTGCATTGTGATCCAGCCTTGGCGACAGATCAAGACCCTGTCTCTCAAAAAAAGAGAAATTGTGTTTAAAATATACATAATATATAACTTACCTTTAAAAAAATCTCCCATCTTGGCTGGGTGCAGTGGCTCACACCTGTATTCCCAGCACTTTGGGAGGCCAAGGTGGGTGGATCACCTGAGGTCAGGAGTTGGAGACCAGCCTGGCCAACATGGTGAAACCCTGTTTCTACTAAAAATACAAAAATTAGCTGGGCATGGTTACATGACGCACACCTGTAATCCCAGCTACTCAGGAGGCTGAGGCAGGAGAATCGCTTGAACCCGGGAGGCAGAGGTTGTGGTAAGCTGAGATTGTGCTATTGCACTCCAGCCCAGGCAACAAGAGCAAAACTCTTTTTTTTTTTTTTTTTAAAAAACAACTGCCATCTTAACTGTATGTATATGTATATGACTAAGATGGCAGTTATGTATTTATTTATTTAAATTGAGGCAGGTGTTACTCTTGTCTTCCGGGCCCCCATGTGGCAGCACAATCTCGGTCAGTGAGCCTCTACCTCTCTGATGCAACTGATCCTCCTGCCTCAGCCTCTTGAGTAGCTGAGACTACAGGCATGTGCCACCACACCTGGCTAATTTTTGTAGTTTTTGTAGAGACAGGATTTCACCATGTTGGCCAGGCTGGTCTCAAACTCCTGAGCTCAAGGGATCTCTCCATCTTGGTCTCCCAGAGTGCTGGGATTACAGGTGTGAGTCTCAGCGCCCGGCTTCTCTCTCTCTCTCTCTCTCTCTCTCTCTCTCTCTCTCTTTCTTTCTATATATATATATATGTGTGTATAGTTATATAACAGATATTTAATATATATTTTAATAACGTAAAATATGTAACATATTAAATATGTATTATACATATATTTGTGTGTGTGTGTGTATATATATATATATATATATATTTTTTTTTTTTTTTTTTTTTTTTTTTTTTGAGACAGAGTCTTGTTTTGTCGCCAGGCGCCAGGCTGGAGTGCAGTGGCACAATCTTGGCTCACTGCAACCTCTGCCTCCCGAGTTGCTGAGACTACAGGCACGTGCCACTGTGCCCAGCTAATTAAAAAAAAAAAAAATTTTAGTAAAGATGGGGTTTTACTATGTTGGCCAGGATGGTCTCGATCTCTTAACCTCGTGATCCGCCTGCCTCAGCCTCCCAAAGTGCTGGGATTACAGGTGTGAACCACCGCGCCCGGCCGTATATATATATTTTTTGAGACAGAGTCTTGCTCTGTCGCCCAGACTAGAGTGCAGTGGTGCTATCTCCGCTCACTGCAACCGCTGCCTCCTGGGTTCAGGTGATTCTGTCTTAGCCTCCTGAGTAGCTGGGATTATAATTATAGGCACCCACCACCACACCCAGCTAATTTTTGTATTTTTAGTGGAGACAGGGTTTCACCATCTTGGCCAGGCTTGTCTCAAACTCCTGACCTCGTGATCCACCCACCTTGGCCTCCCAAAGTGCTGGGATTACAGGCGTGAGCCACTGCGCCTGGCTTTTTTTTTTTTTTTTTGGAGACAATCTTGTGCTGTTTTGCAGGCTGGAGTGCAGTGGTGCAATCTTGACTCACTGTAACCTCCACCTCCCTGGTGGAAGCAATTCTCCAGCCTCAGCCTCCCTATTTCCCTCTTGCCTCAGTCTCCGGCAACCATCATTTTACTGTCTATTGCTATGATTTTTGACTACTCTAGGTTGTTCCTATAGGTAGAATCATAATGTATTTGTTCTTTTTTTTGTGACTGTGTCAATTAAAAATAATTTTAAAAATAGAATGACACAGAGACTTTCTCAAGCACCAACACCTCTAGCCATCGTTACACTGAGCGTCATGTTTGAAGGTTTATCCGTAGTGTGTGTCCATTCCCTTCCGTTTGAAGCTGAATCAAGTGTTCCATTGCATGGGTGGACCACATTCTGCTTCTCCCCCATCTGTGGATGGACACTTGGGTTAACCCATGTTTTAGGTTGTAAATAATGCTGCATGAACACAGGTATGCACATACCCCTTGGAGACCCCGTTTCCAGTTCCTTAGGATATATACCCATAAGTGGAATTGCTGGATCGTTCAGGAATTCTGTTTTAAAATTTTCAAGAAATGATCCTACTGTTTTCTGCAGTGGCTCTGCCATTTTACGTTCCCACCATCAGTGCACACGGGTTCCGGTTTCTGGACATCTTTGTCGGTCCTTGTAACTTTCTGTCGTTTTTGATGGCAGCCAATCCTCATGGGTGTGAGGTGGTGTTTCACTGTGGTTTGGGTTTGCTTTTCCCTAATGTTTAGTGATGTTGAGTGTCTTTTCATGTGTTTATTTGTCAACTGTATTTTTTCTTTGTAGAAATGTCTACTCAGGTTCTTTGCTCATTTTTGAATGAGGTTTTTTTTAATTGAAAATTATATGTATTGCTAAACTCTTTGTATATTTATTCATAGTTGATCAGAGACTTGTATTTAGGTGTAGTGTGTGTGTATACATACATGCATACTGTGTGTATACATACATATATACACATATATATATATATATATTTTTTTTTTTTTTTTTTGAGATGGAGTTTTGCTCTTGTTGCCCAGGCTGAAATGCAGTGGCACAATCTCAGCTCACTGCAACCTCCACCTCCTGGATTCAAGCGATTCTCCTCTGTCAGCCTCCCAAGTAGCTGGGATTACAGGTGCATGCCACCACACATGGCTAATTTTTTTGTTTTTTTTTGTT